AGTTTAGTTCAGTTTTTTTTAGAAACAGTTCAGTTTTTTATAGTACAGTTCACCACCAGTTCAGTTCAGTTCAGTTCAATTTAGTGTTTTTTTGCTCACCCCTAGACAGAAGATCATAGATAATCACTCATATGAATAGTTTAATATTTTGAAAGATAACGTTTTTAAAGAATTTGTTTCAATGAGAGTATATTTGGAGATTTTTTTTTATAATATTTCATCTTTTTTAATTTGTCAATTTTACTTCTGTTCTTAATTGAATTTTAATATTTAAAATTATTAAAAATGAAATTAATCTTATATTACGATAAAAATTATATATTATAAATTTAGAATACAACTTATATGTTCAAAATATTTATTATAAATTTTAATTATATAAAATAAAATTTACCTGTGTATTACACAATTTAAATACTAGTAGTTTATCCCCTAAAAAAAGTACTAGTAGTTTATATATAATAAATTTATAATAGTATTTGACTGTCGAACTAATAAAAACATTCATGATGAAGAGTGATCTTTAGTCTCATAGCGGCATTATCTACTTCAAATTAATATTCAAACATCTAAAACATGAATAATATTGGCCAGGTATTTTTTAAATTATTTAAACAAAATTATAAAATTCAAATTATGTGGATTTAAGAGAAAATTCTCGTATGCTCTCTCAATTATTGGAATAAGCGTAAAAAAACACTTAGCACTTTCGTATATTTTGTTTAAAATAAAAATACAATATATAATACAAATATTTGAAATTAGTGATTAACAATTTGTGATAGTTAATTATTGAGTGTGAAAAGTTAAAAAGAAATTACGAAGAAGTAAATTGTGCATCCCTAATATGTATTTTTTCTAATGTTATCCATGTCCAAAGGGACACAAATATCTATTTGTTCAATTTTTTTTATTTTTTTTTGTATTATACTGAAGATATAATCCTTGGATACGCGAAGAAGAAAAATAACAATTGAACTTTTGGATATTATTTATGTCTTGGAAGAATCCAGATGGCCTCTCAAATGTCAGAAATATAATTACTTCGTCTCGTAACAATTCATTTTTCTTTTTCATTCATGCTTTAATATCACATTTTTCGTAAAGAAAATATAATTATTTACCTAATATACTCCATTCTGTTTTATTTAATGTTTTAGTAATTTTAACCTGTTTATCATTTTATAAAATCAACATAATATTAAATATAATACTGTGTATTTTGCTAATAATTATTAATTTAATTAATATTATAATTAATTGTTTAATTGTTGTTAATATTTAAGGATTTAAGAATCTTTATGAGTTTATGTTGTTTAGGAATTGTTTTGAGATGAAATCAAGATTGATTAGTTAGAAGAAGGTATAAAAGATTTTTCTTAAGAAGTGAATTTCATAAGTTGATTTCTTAAAAATTTAGAGAGAAAGTCTAAAGAAAAGAGTTATGAAGCATGTGAGATTCCTTTTCTCCAATTGACTTTCTTAAGCATCTAGGACCTTCCCCTAATCGTAGTTGAATAGTTGAGTTGAGATTCGAAGCCTCTGGAGCTAAGAATTAGAGACTGCAGAGTGGTTCCGTGTAAAGTTCTTGGAGAGTCTCGATCTTCTTCCTTTTTCCTTTTTTCTAGGAGATTTAGAGGTAAAGGAAGTTCTTAGATATTCTTTGTTGAACTATTACTTTATTGTTACATCATTATTATTGAGTTGTTGTTGATTTAAGAAGTGGTTGCTTAATCTTGGGATTTTTGGTGTTTTGAAGAAGAATTGGTGAATTATATTGGTTGCATGTTGTTTTTGTTGATGAAAATGGATTGGTATTGATGAATAAATGTTGTTTGGTGCATTGCATGTTGGAAATCTTTTGAATTCCAGGTGGATTGAGCCAAAATAAGATTTTGTCAAGTGCAAAAATTGTCATTGCATTGAGCTTAGCTTCATGGTTGGGGATATGATGCAAGCTAGAGACTTTCTACCTCACTAATATCGAGCGCGGGAATTGTAGCATCAAGTGTGAGTTAGAAGAGAGTTATTTGACTTGATCATGCTAGACACGGGTTAAGGTGTGCCATGTGTGGATGCCCTTAGAGCTCTTTGACTTAGTGACGTTGAGTCTTGGTTGAATGACGCTAGCTGTGATCAAGGAAGTAGCTTTTTACTTGGACTACGTTAGGATGCCAGTGTTGTGATGTTGGGCATGAGTCAAACAAAGACTCTCTACCTAAATGAGATCGGACATAGGTTTAGCCACGCCAAACATGATTAATACATGGACTCTTTGCCTTGATGACATCAGACAAGGGTAGATTGACACCACTGTGAGTGAGTCAAAGGCTCTTTGCCGCAATGACGCCAAGCATCAGAAGAATAGCATTGGAAGTGAGTTGCTAAATGGAAATTGGTTGTTTATTTAACTAAGTGTTGAATAATGGATTTGTAGGTTGGATTATTCATATGAATTATGTTATTACATGACTCTAACTCCTTATACATTGATTTAGGATGATGTATGTTGATTATTTGAGTGACTTAAAGTTGTAAGTTGATGAGAGTTGAACTATAGTTGATTTGTATGTTGTGTAGTGTTGAAAGTATTTATGTTGAGAATACTTGACTCATGGAGTTGAGTTATGTTGATTGACTTAGGAGTAGAGGGGAGATACTTTTTTAAAATGTGAATATCTCATTGCGAGAATATGATTTTATGTTGCTCTAAGATTCAAGTTGTTGAAAAACCCTTCTTGAGGAGTTGATGAATCTTGAAGTGGAGTGTTGAGTCTCCTCTTAGACTTAAGTTGATACAGTATGGGAGTCAAGTCGAGTCATACTGATTATAAGTGACCAATGTAAAACCATATAGGGGCAAGGTTGAGCCACACATATATGAAGTAACCAACAAGGTATAAGATCGAGGGTCAAAATTCCTAACTAAGCACTAGAAGGGCACATTATTTGGAGGGTAGTCAGCAGACTAATTCCATAATAGGCTTAGTTATATATGCTAAGATCATGGTAGGCTCATACCCAAGGTGTAACAAGAACACTGTGCTTCCTTAGTTTAAGTGGAGAAATTTGAGAAACCACATTGTGTTGTGAATTTTATCCAAATTTTTTGTTGATCTAGTAAGCCCAAAAAGATCGTGTTGTTAAGTTGGTTCGGTGGGGCAAGCCACTTAAACTACTCACACGTGTTGTAAGAGATCTCTTAGTTAAATGTGCGACGACGCATAAAATTGTGTTGTGCATATGATATGTTGATAAGTTGTGTTGTTCATATGCTAAGTTGATATGTTGATTATTTGCATGGTTCTATTATAAGTTAAAATGTTGTTGTGTTGTTCATACGCTAAGTTGATATGTTGATTATTTGCATGGTTGTATTATAAGTTAAAATGTTGTTGTGTTGTTTAAGTTGAAACATGTATAAGTTGTATTGCATGGTTTATATGTTGTATTGACATGTTGAATGTTGTTAATTAGAGTTGTTGTGTTGATTCTATAAGTTTTGATATGTTGATATTTATAGTATAGTTGTACTTTACTTTTGTACTTGTTATGTTATTTTCTGTAAGCTTATCCTTACACATTTTCCTTACGGTTGGACTATCATGATCATACTTGTTATGTAAGCACTATAGGATTAGGCTAGAGGATAAGTATGCGTTGAGAGTCATGTTGTCGGACAACATTGTTGCTCGGGCTACTCTTACATAACTATTTTATAATTGTTGCTTGATTGACAACTAAGATTTATGTTTTCAGTTAGATTATTATAGATATGTATATATGTACAAAATTTATGTTGTAGTTCTATTGAGAAACATTTATGATTTTGGCTAATTATTTATCCTATACATATACATACATACATACATACATACACACACATATTGATTGTTGCATGTATATCCAAAAACTACTTGCATTATAATCTTAATTAGTTAGATTTATGTTTTCCACTACTATAGTTACTGAATTGTAAAGTATGAGGACTTGTAGGGTTGTAACACTAAATATTTTTCATTTTATTAATACAATTTTTTTAATTAATGTATTAGTTTTTTTATCACTTATTTTCTTAGTTAGAATTTAAAATGTTTAAAGATATATTATGAAGTTAAATAGTTTTTTTTTTAAGTTAGACATATTGATTGTGTTTCGTCTTTAGCAAAATTTTAAGCGTCAAACAAAGTACTCTTTCCAATTTTGAATATAGGAAAAAAATAATCTCATATCTCAACTAATCTTACATTATTTAACATTGTCATATGTGAAATACTCATTTATTTAATAGAGATTGTATTTACAATGTCTCTTTTATTCTTAGTACCAGGTTTTAAGAAAAAATGGTTTAGGAAAATAAGTTACTCCTTTCATCTTATAATAAGTGTCGTATTAGAAGAAAATAATACAAATTTTAAAATAAATGTCATGATAATTTTTTAATGTAGTACTAATCATCTCTTTTTTTATTTATAATCTTAATAATATTATATAAAATTTGAATTTTGTGTTACATTTTTTTTAATAAAAAAATTAATCATAAGGTTAATTTTGTAAAATTATTATTATCTTTCATTTATTTATTAATTTTTCAATATTTTTTGATATAAAATAACTTAAAATGATACTTTTTATGAGACAGATAAAATATTTTTTAAAAAATAAAATTAAATGATATAAATAACTTTTATTAATTAGCGTAAATATTTTTTTCACTTGTATTTGGAATCGGTGAGAATAGAAAGAAGGGAGCAATAGAAATATATTAAAAAATTGTATCTTTAATCTTTAATAAAACGACCGACTATCGTGGTTACGTTTACTTGGAAGAGCACCAAATGTAATTATCGTTATCGTAGACCACAGAAATTATAAAGACGAGTGATGAAAACGACGTCGACGTGGAACAAGTCATAGTATAAGCTATGCCTCCAATGGCAGAGGATCGTGACACGTGGACGCTGAGGATTTCACACACGCTCCCATCAACTCCTTATAAATTGGGGTCACGCTTCGTTCTAACTCATTGCGGTGATCGAAGCAAACCAAACTACCAATATCAATAATCCTTTCTTTGTTCTTCTTTTCTGAGTTTCAGAATGTCTAGCTGTGGGTGTGGAAACAGCTGTAGCTGTGGCAGTGACTGCAAGTATGGAATCGCTTTTTTTGTTTATTTTTTCCTTCATAATATGCTTGATCAACCTTAAAATTAATTTTTTTTTAACATGTTTTAATATAAAATTTGTGTTGGAAATCAATTTTGCTTTCTCAAAATTGGGATTTTTTTTAAGGAATTTCTATTGTTTTGTTTGATTTTTGTTACTTCATAAGATAGGAGGTTTTCTAAGGATTAGGATTTGCTGTTTTATATTTGGTTCTGTGCTGTTTTAGACTGTGTCTTTGATCTCTCTAGCATGGGAGATTTTCTAGGTATTCTAAAAAATTGTGTCTCTTTTCAAGATTTTTTTTTTTTTTTTGAGTAATTTGATTGGCTTTGTGAGTACCCTTTTTGTTGAAGTTTATGAAATTAATTTTTATTTATTTATTAAAATTATATTTGTTGATTTTTGTTGTGGAACAGGTGCGGTAAGTACTCTATGGACTTGAGCTATCTTGAGACAACAACCTCAGAGACTCTAGTTTTGGGTGTTGGTCCTGTGAAGCCCACCTTCGAAGGTGGTGAAATGGGTGTTGCAGCTGAGAGTGGCTGCAAGTGTGGCTCTAACTGCACCTGCGACCCATGCAACTGCAAATGAAGAGAAGATGAATGTTCCAAGCAGAGATAACACACTTATATTATAATAACAAGTGTATGCTTTGTGTTTTGTTCAATCATCATGGTTTGGAGTTTTAGAATAAAGTGATTATGGCTATGCCCTCTGCAAATCCCAATGTTTTAGGATTTGTTGCGGGTGTTTTACGCTATGGTTGCTTTTGCTTTGTGATTGGTCCTTGGGTCTTATATAAATATGTAATTTGAATCATTAATACATCTCTGCTTATAAATGAAATACTAAGTTTTCTATTTTTTGAGGTGCTTCTAACGTAACGAGCAGATTAATCATTATTATCGGTAATAAATACTCCCTGCAAGTAAATATTCCAGGACGAACTAAAAAATAAAAAATAAAAATATAGAAGGTTTGTCAAGTTGTTTCATCGATTTGGACACCAAGGTAATAATGTCGCATTTAAGTGTATAATATATTGTGGCTTAAAAAGATTGCGTGTGCAGACTTTCTTGAATTATAAATTTTCTTTCAAGTTTTCTTTTTTATTAGGATTCTTTCAAGTTTGCTAGATTTGAATTGATACACGCCTTTTGTCTTTAGCATTGATATATGTAAGAAGTTACAAAATAATATAACCAAAATTTATTATTAATTAGTTTTTTAAATTAAGAAAACTAATTATTATAGAAGAAATTAATTTTGAAAAGATAATTCTTTTCATGAAATAAATAGAAGTCAATTTTTTAAAATAATTTATACAAACATGTAAAATATTAAAAAAAATTATTTATTATATTTATAAAAAGTAATGTTCAAGAAAAAAAAGTTAAAAAACAGGTTCAAATATCACAAAATTTAAATTATTTTAATTTATATTTAGGAATTATCAATAAAAGTAACTATATGGAGGTAGTAAAAAAAGGGAATAGATTGCAAATAAATAAGTAAAAATAAAAACACAGCTGTGTTTACACATCGAAGGTAGATCAAGTAATTAAATATGTTTCTAGCGATACAACAAATGGAATAATGTTATCCTAGCTTAGAAAAATATATATCCTAGCTTAGAAAAATATATATTTTAGAAGGATAACACAGTCAGACATGGACTTTGTTGATTAAAATATAATAATTTCCTTTAAAGGTAAGTTTAATGCTTTGTTTGAGAAAAGAAAGAATTAAGGGAAATGAAAGAAAATAAGTGAGAATTAATTAAATAAAAAAATAGTGGAAAATTTATAATATATTATTTAATAGAATGAAATTATTTGAAAAATGGAGAAAAATTAGTAATTTTTAATTGTATTTTATATAATTAAGTTTTTATGTAAAAATATATTATTTAAACAATTATAATTTTATTTTTATTAACTAATAATTAGATAATAGTGTAGGAATAATTTTATTCATTTTTTTTTAAAAAAAATTCACATAATACTAGTATAAAAATTGGATTTAAAATCGGAGTTTTAAGATCAGTTACAAAGTAACCGATCTTAAAAGTGACGCGGTGACAATTTTATAAATAACATGAACACTTTTAAGATCGGTTATAAGATAACCGATCTTAAAAGTACTTTAAGATCAGTTATTTTATAACCGATTTTAAAAGTGTCACTTTTAAGACTGGTTATTTAAGAACCGATTTTAAAAGTATCGTCAGAAATCTTTTATATTTCCCTCCATTCTCATTCTCTTTAATTTTTCCCTCCATTCCTTTTTTTAATCTCAGATGCTCTCATTTTCTAAAGTCTCCAATAAGGTAAATTTTGTTGTCGTTTTCGTTTTCATTTTCGTCTTCTCATGTTCTTCTTATGTCTCTTTTCGTTTTCTCATGCTTTTTTGGTCTCTATTTTCGTTGTAGGTAAATTTCAAACCTGGAACGGCCGTTCTCCAAGAAGCACGGGCTGTTCTACAAGGAGTACGGGCCATTCTAAAGGTTAATTTTAGGCTTTTTGAACAGACTGGAACGGCCCGTTCCAGTTTTGGAACGACCCGTTTCAGTTTAATTTTTTTTCCACTGCCAGACTTTTAAGATCGGTTATAAAACAACCGATCTTAAAAGTTAACTTTTAAAATCGGTTGTTTAACCGATTTTAAAAGTCTAACTTTTAAAATCGGCTCTTTCAAAATTAATTACGAAACCGATTTTAAAAGTTAAAAATAACCGATTTTAAAAGTCTTTTTTCTACTAGTATAAATTCACTTATAAGAAAAGTAAAATTAAATTCATATGGTCCTACCACAACTTTCTCACAAATTCATCTAAATCAACTCCTCCAAACATGCTTTTTTTTAATTCTTAGTAATCTTTTCCCTTTCTTTTCCTTTTCCTTTTCTTTTCCTTATTAATCACTTTTCCCTAATACTATAAAAGAAAAATCAGTCTCATTTATAATCATTGGAAACATTAACATCAAGAATATACCAGGAAGTAAAAAAAAATGAATTCAAATAAATTGTTTTATTGGAACAAGAGAACTGGTAGAGAGAGAAAAAGAAGTGCGAAAAAAATGGAAGCAAGTTAAAATTGGGATGTGTTTGATAAAAGAAAAGAGGATGGAAGTATGTATAATTTTATGCGGACTTACTATTAAAACTTTTCCTCTAATATGAGGGGGAAAGTATAGGAACGCACTGGTAATGACAGTTCATGGCTTCTTTCTGGTTTATATATAATTATGTTTATGTCTATATATATATATATATATATATATATATATATATATTATCATACAAAAACTCAAATGACGATTTCCGTGGATGATCTTTACGATTCTTTGTAATTTTAATGTTAGTTGATTGTTGAGTGATCTTAAATGTTTCTTAACTTTCATATCTTCACTTTTGTGAAATAAACACTTATAAACCTTCAATCTTTATGTTAAAGAAGAAGTTGGTAAAAAATTAATACTCGATGAAATATACACTATAAGAAAAACGTAAATTTCTGACGATAATTTCTAACAGATATAAATCTGTCGGAAAATATAAATTTTTTGACGGAAAAATCCATCAGAAAATATCCATAAAAAATTATCGACGAATTTTTATCAATCAGTAATTTCTGATGGGAAAATCTGTAAGAAAATTCCCTCGAAAATTTTTGAAGGAAAAATCCGTCGGAAATTATCGACAGATAAAAATTCATCGATAATTTTTTACAGATAAATCTATAAAAAATTACCTATGGATTTTTCCGTCAAAAATTTTTGATAGATTTTTCGGTCAGAAAATTTATATTTTTGATGAAAAATAATTCGTAGAAAAATTATATTATTGATAGAATATTTCCGACAAATTTATATTTTTCGAAAATGTAAGAAATAGCCAAAAAGCCATTAATTTGTTTGATAAGATATCTAGTGTTGGTTTAATGCCAGACTATGTGACATTCATTGGGGTTTTGACAGCATGTAGCCATGCTGGATTGGTTGATCTTGGTTTTTACTATTTTATGTTAATGACTAATGAGTACCAAATCAATCCTTCAAAAGAACACTATGGTTGCATCATTGATCTTCTATGCAGAGCAGGGCAATTGAGTGAAGCTGAGCACATGATACGAAGTATGCCATTCCATAGTGATGACATTGTGTGGTCTACCTTACTCAGAGCATGTAGAGTTCATGGGGATGTTGATCGTGGAAGATGGACAGCAGAACAGTTACTTCAGTTGGATCCATATTCTGCTGGAACTCATATTACTCTGGCTAACATGTATGCTGCCAAGGGAAGATGGAAGGAAGCTGCACATATAAGGAAGTTAATGAAGTCAAAAGGATTAATAAAGGAGCCAGGCTGGTCTTGGATTAATGTTAATGATCAATTGAATGCATTTGTTGCTGGGGATCAGGCTCATCCACAAAATGAACATATCACAACCATTCTGGAATTATTAAGTGCAAATATAGGAGATGCTAGGCAGGAAATAGGTTCTCTTCAAGATGTTGAGGATTAGAAGACGACCACATTGCTTGAATATATTTGTGTTTCCTCTGAGTTTTCGTATTTCAAATTTTAAACGATTATGAAAAATTGGTTTCCCAGCCAGCTCTAATAATTTGAAAGCCTCTAGCTTGATATGGATTCTCTGAAATCTGAGACTGTAATAAAATTGCAATGTGTCTTTTCTGTTTCTCCTCTTCTTTTCATGAAAAAAGAGTAAAAAAACTAAGTCCTTGCAGTTGGTGCAGGATGACTGAGCTGACGAGGTCACCTGGAAGATATCTCCCGTCAACGAAAGCTCCAAGCTGTTTCAAAATAAATTAATTCAAGCCTTGGGCAGGTGGTACAATTTAGATTTTTTTAATTATTTAAATAAAAATAAAAAAAATATTTAAGCGGATATATGTTGTGGGAGCGGCAAGTGCAGTGAATAATTTAGAAAGAGGTAAACTTAGAGAGTCTGTGGCATTTGAAGCGCTGAAACCAACGTACGACGCTGCTACATTAATGCTTTTTCCACTTTTTTCTCTCTTGTGACTCTGTGGGGTCTCTTCCTCTGTCTTGTCTAATTCCCTCTTTCTCTCTCTCTCACAGTACCATGTCTTTACTCTACAATCCCAGGGTATATTTTCTCCCTCTCTCTCTACGATAATGCTAAGGGTGGTGCTTCTCCCTTTCCCATTTCTGGATCTTTTAATGCCCCAAAATTGTGCTCTTCCACATGGACCCTCACAACATGCCTCCTTCAACAAGCACGCTGCTAGGTATTTAGGGGCAACTTCAACCCTTTCCACCCACATCATCTTCTTCTTCCCTTTTCACTACTTTTTTTTTTTTTTTTTTTATCCTTCAAAAGAACACTATGGTTGCATCATTGATCTTCTATGCAGAGCAGGGCAATTGAGTGAAGCTGAGCACATGATACGAAGTATGCCATTCCATAGTGATGACATTGTGTGGTCTACCTTACTCAGAGCATGTAGAGTTCATGGGGATGTATCGTAATATAAAATTATTATATATTATTATTATTATTATAGTACAAGTATGAGATTGTATAGTTAAAGATGACTTAAATGAATTAATTTGTACAAATTATACTGACAACATGCATATACATTTCGGTAGCTTATCTCATCAGAACTTCACAGTTAAGTGTGTTTGACCTGAAGTAATGAAGGAATGGGTGACCTTCTGGGAAGTTCTCCAGAAATTGCGTAAGTAAGGACAAAACACGCTAAAAAATGAAATATCGTGAAATAGAACCCTTGAGAGGCCAAATATGAGGATTGTTACATTAATAAATTTATTAAAATTAAACAAAAAATTTCTATCAAATCATATAAAGATCTTCAAATAATTTTCGACAGATAATTACCGACGGTTATATCTGTCAGAAATTTCTGTCGGTAATTTTCGACGGATAAATTTATGACGAAATAAAGTATTTCTGACGGATTTTTTTTTCCGACACCCCTTTTTCCAATAAATTTAAATCTGTCAAAAATTCGTCAGAAATACTTTATTCCGTTGGAAATTTACTTGTTTTCGTCGAAAATTAACATTTTCTTGTAGTGATAGTGCAATGTTTATGATGAGAAGTTTTTAAGGCACGGAGAGGTTAAAATACTTGGTTGTACTACGTGATTGATTGAGTAGTGAAATCATTTAGTAAGAATGAGATTAGATGTGATTTTTGGATAAAGAGTGAACTAGTAAAAAAATATAAATATGTTTTCTCTCTTTCCTATTCTTTTACTTTTTATATTAATAAATATAAAAAAAATTTATTAGTAAAAGTATTTAAATACGAAATTTAACTCTCATTTTTATGTGTTAACCTGTATATAGTTTTTAGTAGCATACAATGTTAACAACTTTATAATTTCTAAATAATTAAGTGAACTATGTAACATAGTTACTAGACTGGAACGGGGCGTTTCCAAATTGGAACGGGTCGTTCCAAACTACTAAAACAAGGATGATTTAGTAGCCCAGAACGGGTCGTCCCCGAACTGGAACAGACTGTTCCAAACTACTAAATAAGCCTATAAATCCTAGTTGAGAACGGGTCATTCCAAACAGGGTCGTTGTGAGTTAAATGCAACCCCAGAACGGGTCGTTCTGGATGTGAATTTTACACATGACGTTTGAGTCCAGAACGGGTTGTTCCAGATTTGAAACAAGTCAATTTGGCTACTTCAGACTTCTATAAATAGGCCACATGCATGTAGTTGAGGAAAAGAGATAAAGGGAACTTAGAGAGAGGTTTTAGAGAGAAGTTTTAGAGAGAAGGACTCTGGGTCTGTGAGCTTCTTTCACTCTTGAATTTCTCTGTATGATTCTTCTTCTCCTCTAGATCACTAATGTCTTATATCTTTTCATGAAATTCAGATTAGGAAGCTTGCTTTGGGAGGATTGAAGTTCCGGGTTGAGCTTCGAAAGGGAATTCTACTTTTTCTCAGTTCTTGGCCATTTTGAGCCAATTTTCGGGTGAGGGAAGCTAGAATATTTGTTGTTTAGGTTGCATGTGAGTTTAGAAACTCAATCGATGCATGAATGTTGAGAATCTATGGTTGGATTGGAGAAATTGTTCATTTTGGGGCTTTTGGGAAAATTGGAGTTTTGATGATTTTGATGCATCAGATGAGTGCATGTTGATTTTGAACTTGTTTTTGAGTTGTATGGAGCCTGTGCATTGTGTTTTTGTGTTTGCATGTGGCTAGATTTGCTGGTTTGGATGAGTTTTTGAACTCTTTGACTGGGATTATGTCGGGCGCAGGTTGAGCGCACCAGGCGTGGATAGACTCTTGATGGTCTTTGTTTGGAGTATGCCAGACGCAGGGTGGGTGTAACACCCCAATTTTTTTAAAAAGGTACTTTTGTAATTCAGCCATAGTGTTCTTTTGAAGGATTGACTTGGTACTCATTAGTCATTAACATAAAATAGTAGAAACCAAGATCAACCAATCCAGCATGGCTACATGCTGTTAAAACCCCAATGAATGTCACATAGTTTGGCATCAAACCAACACTGGATATCTTATCAAACAAATTAATGGCTTCTTGGCTATAACCATGTTCAGCATACCCATTAATCATGGCTGTCCATTATATAATATCATTGAATTTCATTCCATTAAAGATTTTTGAAGCTTCTTGTACACTTCCACATTTTGAATACATATTAATCAGAGCACTATGAACCATTGCTTCATGATCTATGCCAATGCACAGTACATGAGCATGCACCTGTTTCCCTTGCTCAAGAAGTGCCATGCTTCCACAAACGCTCAACACACTAGCAAGAGCAAATTCATTTGGTTTTGGCCCTTCCCTTCTCATCCATGATAGGTAGTTGAATGCTTCTTTTGCATAACCTCCTTGAGAATAAACAGCGATTATAATGCTCCAAGATATAATATCTTTTTTAGTTATACCATGAAAGACAATTGAAGCTGATGTTAACAGCCCACATTTTGAATAAAGGGTAATTATTGAATTTGCCACTGACAAAGAATCCACCAAACCTAGACGCAATACATGGCCATGTATCTGTTCCCCCCATTTTGCAATAGCGAGATTTGCACAGGCAGAAATTACAGTTGCAAAAGTGTATTTATTAGGACTAACATCTGATTTTCTCATTTTTTTAAAAACTTCCACTGCACGTTCTTCTTCACCCATGTGTACATAAGTCGTAATAAGGGTTGTCCATGAGACTACATCTGGCATCTTCATTTTCTCAAACAATCGCATGACATAGTCTGGTTTTCGACATTTATTATACATGGTAGCCAGGGTATTAATCACAAATGAGCTCTCATCAAATCCTTGTTTTATTGTTTGTGTGTATAGCTTTCCCATGGTGTAACAAACTTGAATCAGATGCCTTTAAAGCAATTGCAAATGTATGTGAATCATAGCCAACTTTTGATCTCCACATTTCATAAAAGTACAACAAACCCTCCATATTGTGACCGGCATGTACAAGCCCAGCAATAATGGCAGTCATTTTTGCGAAGACTCTGCAACCTTGTTCTATTTTGCCTAATTTCATGTACATGTCAATTAGGGCACTACCGACAAACATCGAGTTTACTAAACCAGATTTCACTGAAAATCCATGTAATAATTCTCCAAAAAAAATGTTGACACCAAGTGCACAAGCCTTGAGTGCAACACTAATCATGAACTGGTCCCTTTGAAGTCCTGGCTGGACCCACATATTTGAGAACAAGATCAATGCTTCATGCGAATCTGCAGCATTGACATAACCAGCTATTAATGTAGTCCATGAAATCTCATCTCTGTGAGCCATTTTATCAAACATATTCCTAGCTTTATAAATTTGTCCCTGTTTCAGTAATTGCTTCAGCTCAGAGTTAAGTTCAAGCATATTATGAGCAGAATAGGCCGTTGGAGCTAGATGTTCTTGTTTTGCTTGCTGGATCAGTTCTTTGCATTCAGTAGCAGTTCCTGTAAATAGACTTGTTAGAAATACAATATAAAACCATTCATATTTCTCTATATAACAGCTTGAACTTTTGGGGTAGTTAGTTGGTTCATGACATTATATAGACATAGGCTATGGTTAGATACACATTTGAAATTTGTAACCCCAATTAGTTGCCAGAAAAAAAAAAAATTATTTTCCGTTGAGTGTAAATTACAAACAAACCTCAGTTGAAACAAAAGCTAAAAGGGTGTTGTTTTAAATTGAAAGTTAATTTAGAAAGTTAAATTCAACTCAACTTAACTTTCTAACTATAATTCAAACACCCACCACATGATCTAGAGTTTGATCCTTATCACACCCATTATTCCAACAAAAACAATTTTTTCTATCATCGAAATTATAATGATGGAACCAAGTTCAAACATAAACCAACAAAAACATTTAAGCACAAGATAAGTCGGCTCTTATGTGTTAGAAAAGAATGACACAATCCAAGAGGGGGGTGAATTGGATTCTATGACACTTTAAAAATTTTCAGAGTATTTAGGATCTTTATTTCAATTAAACTTTTCTAAAAATGAATTTTCAATGAAGTTTCTTAAAGACTTGTTATAGAAGAATGAATCCTATATGCTTTCTTGATTAATCAACAATGAGGTTCAAAGTTAATGTCAATATGTAATGCTTTGATTCAGTTCAAACCAATGTCATTCATGCACACATGCTAATCAAGAACAATCTTCTTTAATGCACAATCAAGATATTACACAAAGTAAAAGATAAGAGTAAGAGAAGATTGCACAAGTCTTTTATCCTGGTTCAGCCACTCAACATGTGACCTACATCCAATCCTCAACCATAACCTGATCAAGATTTGTTCCACTATCTTAATGAAGAAGGTTTACAAGCATACCACACATGCATATACTCCTACATTCAAGATAACCACTTTCTTGACCTCAAGAAAGCACCCCTTGTAGAAACCCACTACAAGAATTCCTTACCACTTGAGAAACCCTCTCAAGATTTACAAGTATTCACAAAGAATTAAGGAACGAATTCACCTGGAATTCAGAAGAAAATCTTAATCTCTTCCCTTTCAAGAATGTGATGATGATGATGATCCTTTCTCAAAGTTTTTCACAAACGTTTTTCTTCTTGGATTCACAAAGAAAACTCTCCAAGATTGTCACAAAGACTTCACAAAAACGCTTTTCTAATTTTGATTCTCAATTCTAACTCTGTTCTGAAGTTTCAAAATGTTCAAACTATTTATAAAAGTTTCAGTTTGGTAGATGCTTTGTCAGTGGCAAATTCAATAATTACCCTTTATTCAAAATGTGGGCTGTTAACATCAGCTTCAATTGTGTTTCATGGTATAACTAGAAAAGATATTATATCTTGGAGCACTATAATCGCTGTTTATTCTCAAGGAGGTTATGCAAAAGAAGCATTCGACTACCTATTATGGATGAGAAGGGAAGGGCCAAAACCAAATGAATTTGCTCTTGCTAGTGTGTTGAGCGTTTGTGGAAGCATGGCACTTCTAGAGCAAGGGAAACAGGTGCATGCTCATGTACTGTGCATTGGCATAGATCATGAAGCAATGGTTCATAGTGCTCTTATTAATATGTACTCAAAATGTGGAAGTGTACAAGAAGCTTCAAAAATCTTTAATGGAATGAAATTCAATGATATTATATCATGGACAGCCATGATTAATGGGTATGCTGAACATGGTTATAGCCAAGAAGCCATTAATTTGTTTGATAAGATATCTAGTGTTGGTTTAATGCCAGACTATGTGACATTCATTGGGGTTTTGACAGCATGTAGCCATGCTGGATTGGTTGATCTTGGTTTTTACTATTTTATGTTAATGACTAATGAGTACCAAATCAATCCTTCAAAAGAACACTATGGTTGCATCATTGATCTTCTATGCAGAGCAGGGCAATTGAGTGAAGCTGAGCACATGATACGAAGTATGCCATTCCATAGTGATGACATTGTGTGGTCTACCTTACTCAGAGCATGTAGAGTTCATGGGGATGTTGATCGTGGAAGATGGACAGCAGAACAGTTACTTCAGTTGGATCCATATTCTGCTGGAACTCATATTACTCTGGCTAACATGTATGCTGCCAAGGGAAGATGGAAGGAAGCTGCACATATAAGGAAGTTAATGAAGTCAAAAGGATTAATAAAGGAGCCAGGCTGGTCTTGGATTAATGTTAATGATCAATTGAATGCATTTGTTGCTGGGGATCAGGCTCATCCACAAAATGAACATATCACAACCATTCTGGAATTATTAAGTGCAAATATAGGAGATGCTAGGCAGGAAATAGGTTCTCTTCAAGATGTTGAGGATTAGAAGACGACCACATTGCTTGAATATATTTGTGTTTCCTCTGAGTTTTCGTGATCGAGTACACAAATAAGTAATAAAAGAAAATTTTCAAACTTACATAATTGACTTATAATGACCTTAAAATATTTGCAATAGTATAGTAATTATAAGCTACTCATATCTTACATTATTATTTCTAATATTTACATTACATATTATTCTACTATTATTGAGAGTACATGCCTTACATATTTTTTTTTCTACTACTACTACGATAGTTTTTACATTGGTGGTGGAAATAAGTTTACAATAGGATTTGCATGATTTGCTGGTGGTAAAAAGAAAGTCACTATAATAGGTCCATCTATAATAGTGAGATTTTCTTGATCGGGAAATAAAACGAACGACAGTCCTATGCCTTGGAACGTGATTGAGTTGGAGATAGCATCTACACTCCAATTACCCTCGGAAAAAATGGTAGTGATAACTACTGTAAACGGACCTGGTATGGCCGGTAGATCCATCTATATTATGATATATTAAATTTTTCACAAAAAGAAATAAGGAGTGAGAACACGTATCAAATAAATACAATTAATTAAATAAAGAACAAAATTGTCTATAGTAAACATAAAATTAAAAAATTTTATTGGTATAATAAAATTTGAATTATTTTAATAGTGACTAGTCAGGATAAATGAGCATTATTATAATATCAACCAAATATCAAAAAGGGTAATTCACCATAAATCCTTACTCATTTAAATCCCCAAGGTTGAACCTCCAGCTACAAATAATTCAAACTTTATCTTCTATGGCCATAGAACAATATTTATCTTCATAAATACGTGAAGAAATAACAACAAGGTGAGCTCAAGATATCACAACTATATTATAGTTGATTATAAATATATTTATAATAAATATATTTACGTAAAAAATATATATTAAAAGTACCAATGATATAAATAAATATGACAATCATTATAAAATAATTAAACAATATAAAATATGAACACCTTAATAATTATTATGGATAAAAATAATCATAGATTAAGCAAATAAATGAGGTTAGGGACACCCCACTAAATAAATATACATAAAAATAACATAAATAAATAAACATAATAGTATATAAAATTTTAAAGAGATAAAGTTCTCATCCCCCTTACCTTAGAATGTAGACTTATCAAGAGGTAGTTGTGTAAAAAATTTATTCTCTTACTTCGCTGTCTTTCTCTTTTTCTCTCTTCTCTTCCTTCTCTTTTTTCTCACTTCTCTTTTTTTTCTACTTCCGTCACTTTGTGTCTCCAAATTTACTGCAATTGAGGCCTATTTATAGCATTAAAGGTAATGATTACATAGTTACTATGTAATGGTAAATTAATTTCAATTTGTTTAGTTTCACTTCCATTTGTACCTTTTAGTTACGTATAGATAACATTGAAATCAATTTGAAATCAGCAGATAAGATTCTGAGCTGGTTTTATCCGTGCATTTATTGTAGTGGATTTTTGTTTTTTTTTTTTGGAAATCACTAAAAAAAATTTGGAAAAAAAATTGTAATATGCATATATATATATATATATATAAATAAATCAATAAATATATATATATATATATATATATTGTAATAATTTATATATAATTTATAATTAAAATATTATTCTAAAATAATACATTATAAACAAGATTTTTTTAATGTAATTAAATATTATATATTTCCATTTTAATTTATGAAAATAAAAATTTTAATGTATTATAGAATATCATACTTATTTTCTATTTGTTCTTAAAATATAATAAAAAAAATTAATATTGTATCTGAATTTTAGGATGTTACAGTATGTATGATATATGATGTATAGTGAGGTGTGATTCATATGTATGCATAGTGATGATATGTATGAATGTTTAAATATGATATGGCATGAGTATATGTTCATATGAGTATGATTATTGATCAAGATGGTGGGTAGACCATGTATGATGTATGATGCATTATTGCATGTGATGCCTTATGGCATGTGTATGATTATTGATCATGATGGTGGGTAGACCATATATGATGTATGATGCATTATTGCATGTGATGCCTTATGTCATGTGTATGATTATTGATCATGATGGTGGGTAGACCATGTATGATGTGTGATGCATAATTGCATGTGATGCCTTATGGCATGAGTCTAGCCTACGACTTGAGGAGAGGGAAAATTTTTTCGAACGAGAAGAGCTCACATAGAGTCTCTTGAGAGTGGTGCTTGGATAGGCCATTGATATATGAGAGTGGTGCTTAGGTAGGCCACTGGATTTGGGGGAGAGTGGGGCTTAGGTAGGCCACTTGATTGGGTGAGTCTCCTCTAAGTCCTTAGCTAGTGTTGGAGCAGAGTATGAGGCTGAGGGTTATTCTCTTAATCAAGTACTGGGGAAGGTGCGTGGATCCTTGTGGATAGTTGGTGGGCGAACTCTACAAGTGACTTGGTAATGCATGCCAAGGTCGTGGTAAGCCTGTACCCAACTGTGCTATACTTGACGGTGGATCCGGACTTCCAATTGTGTAAGTGACATCATCTGAGTAAACCCGAGTGAGGATTTTTATCCTGTTTAGCTGTGACCGAGCGGGCGCATTGGGCATGAAAACAGTTGGGGTGGTTTTGGTAGGATTGGGATGTCACTTATATTGCTCTGTTGTTAGGGAGATCTCCTAGGTGTATGCGTGACGACGCATTAGATGATAGATATGCATTTCATATCTTTCATGTGTTGCTTAATTGCATGAATGTTGTTGTGATGAAGTGTAAGGTGTGACTCTATGAACATGATTGGTGTGTTGCATGTTATGCATGAGTAGATTTGGATAGAGTGTATGGTGTGACTCTATGAACATGATTGAATGAATGTGTAGTATAGATTATTGTTCTATACTTGTATGGTTGTTTATTGAACTCTAGCTTACCCTTCTGTTTTCCATGTGGATAGACTGCAATGATCATACTTTGTATGAGAGTAGATTAGGGCTAGCTTGGAGTTGAGGTCCGCTGCCAGACGAGGAGTTTTGTCCTAGTGTTAGAGTTACCTGCTGGGGTAATTGTTGTTGTGCTTGATCAGTACTAGGAAATATTATTTTGGATGACTGTACATATATATAGTGTTATAATTTGTTTTTAGAAAACTTAGTTATTATTATATTTTATATACCTTGTATGTATGAGTTGTCACATTTAATATTTCTTTTAGTCTATTTGTAATAGTGCGATTTCACTAAGTGTAGGGACCATGGCGGGTCGTTACAAACTACATAATATTTTAATACATGTATATTAATTAGCTATTTACCTTTAGATGACTAAATAAGTTTGGCTTCGTATAGGGGGCCAACAAGGAACATACACTGAGTTGCCAAAATAACAAGCTTGGTTGCTAGCTATTTTATATCATAAGGAGAGCTCTAAATTCCTTTTGGTGATTTGGTGCCTTTGGAAATGGAGAAACAACACTACCTTCTTGAGGGATAAATGGAGCATTCAATATGTGTGCCAATTAATTCAAAATACTACCACCGAGCTTGAAACTTTGTGTAAAACAACATGTAGGAAATGTAGTTCGATGGTTTCCTCTACGTAGCAACTATGTTAAGTTGAACATTGATGGGGCTTGGATAGCACATGATGCAATGAGGATGGTGGAACTATTCAAGGTTCCCAAAGAAATGGTTTTTTTGGCTTCTCTAGCTTCTATGGACCTAGCAAACCTTTACTTGTTGAATTGCTAGCCCTGAAGGATGGGATCACTCACGTCCAAAACCCGAGGTTTAAATGTGTTCTTCATGAATTAGAGTGTCTCACGCATTAGTTCAAGCTATTAATAGTTCATCTCGGCAATAGGTCGATCTGCACTCTTATAAAGAGGTCATCTATGAGATAAAGGAGCTCTTCCAACGTCCTTGGGAAATTTTGCTTGGCCACACACTTCATAGTGCTAATGAAGTGGTGAATAAACTTGCAGCCTTAATTAGGAGTGTTCATCATCAATATGAAGAATTTATCATTCCACCTTCGTTTATTTTAGATGTTTATTCACGCGATCTATCTCCTATTAGTTAAATTCTTTGCATGTCTTTTTTACTTTCCTCCATGTACCAAAAAAAATGGATGGACTCAATATAAGTTGTCTATATTAGTGAGCCCATTAGACAACCAACAAAAAAGAAATATGGCTTAATGAGTAGAAACTAGATTAACTCGTGAGGGGATAATGAAAACTCTTATAGGTTAACTAGTAGGTATAGTTATAATCTTAAATACATCAAATCAAATTACATCTCTCGCTTTTCCCATCAAAAGACAAATATTAAATTTCATTCGAGAAATTTAGTGATTTGGTTGAGGAAAATCATCATAATAACATATAGTTTATGACTTTGTTACGACTATTAATCAATAGCTATGCATCCTCATATTTTGTAAAACAAAAATATCTTGATAATCTACGTTTATATGGTATTTTATTTATGATTATTCAAAATTATAACATACAACCCAATGAAGAATTATGATTAGGATGCAACAGTTTATAAGAGAATATGTTGGCCTTACTCTAGAATGATGGATGATTTTGTGTTGTCACAAAAAATCCTAAAACTTATCAACAATTAGCTAGCATCGATAAACCTGCTCTAGAGTTGCTCTCATGAATTAAGTAGAGGTGTCATTCTCATCGATGCATGGACCCTTATGATGACTTAACTATTTATGTTTTATAAAGAAGGCTATAAAGATAAATATTAAACCCTTATGTAATTTTTTTTTCTGTAATGTGTGATTCATGAAATGAGATTACTTCACTCAAGGGATGTTTAAAACTTTTATTTTAAAAATTATCCCTCTTAAAACCCTAATAGTATCAACTAAACTTAAGAGTTTGTAATTGAATCCTAACATGTTCCTCATTGTTTGACACAAGTAAAAACATTATCACAATGAATTCAATTGTTAATTATTATTTACAAACTAAATTCTTAATTTTATCAAGAGCTTCAAAGACAAACACAATTCATAGAATAAACAATCAACAATTCAATTGGCAATACAAAAAAGTGAAGTGCTTTGAGTTATTCACAACTTGTCCAAAGAATTAAAATAGTTATACATCATACACACACAAACTCTATAACTCCCTTAAGGGTATTTTTGAAACTACATGTAGTTTTCTTGAAACATGGAATTTTTTTTAGACATTTAAACATCATGCGGAAGAAACTTACTATATTTTCATACTAATTATAATATAGAAATCACAATATATACTTAATATAATTCATTTAGCACCCATAAGAAACTAAGAAATAAAATCAATTAAGTTACATCCTTATGCATATAGCTCCAAACTTTATCAACATGTACCAATTTTTTTCCTAGAAAAGAAAATGACTTAAAGGAATGGGACAAAAGTCTTAGTGAGTGCTCTAAGGAATCTAGGGATAAGTTAAGCTTTTTGCCATATTCCCTTGTCTTTTAAATCTACATAGTATTTTTCATGTCTCTCAACTTCAAAACATGTCTATGATCCTTCACATGAGATTGAGTCAAACAACATTCAAATGAAGGAGAACTTAACCTATAAGATGTTACCTTTGTGAGTTGGTTAGGGGCACAAAGCGGAGCAACTAAGAGGGAATGAGAAATATAGGTATTAAATGAGGAATTTTATATAATTAAATGGATCAAAGGTGGGTATATTCTTAAAACAACGCTTAGGGTCTTGCTTTTAGACATAGAGCCTTTTTCTTTAAAACCATTTAGTGGATAAACTAGTTCATAGTCACTTAATTTTAACTTGGGTTTATCATATAAGTTGGATATAAAACATTATGATATTAATAATGTCTTTCTTAATGACTTTCATACTAAAAATATCTATTTGTGGTAATCCCTAGACTTTGTTTCCACTAATGAACAACTAGTTTGTAAGCTGAATCAAGCTCTCTATGACCTTCCACAATTTGGATTAAGGTCAAGTTATTATGATCCATCTCTTTTTACTAATTATATGAATTGAGTTATATTGATGACGTTATTATAATTGGTTCATCCTCAACTTTGATTTCCAATCTTATTCATAAGTTAAATACCAAGTTTGCTCTAAAGCAACTTGGTCAATTAGACTATTTCTTTGGCATTGAATTGAAACACATGTCCGATGGTTCTCTACTACTTATTATAATTTGTATTGAATACTCCAATAACATGTCTCTCATGGCTTACCTCCTTCTAGTGAATGTCCATATCTATGGTCAGATCTACACCTTTCAATAGTCAATATTACTTCTTTTTGGTTTGTTATAGTAGTTTACTCTTTTTATTAACTTACTAATAGGGGGAGAGACATTTTGTGTCTTTTAATTTTTTAAAATAATTAAAAACAAAATAAAAAGAAATAATGAAGTTGGTAGTATTAGTCGTCATTGAAAGAGTGTGATGGGAT